GGGGAAGGAGGGGGGTACGATTTTGTGGGGCGGCAGTCCGCTCTCTTTCAGGGCCCGATCGGTACAGCCCCTTCTTTTTCGTTTCTTTTGTTAAACTTGCTTAGGGTGGGATGAGGGCCTGAATCCTCCGCTAGAACATGGAAAGATACACCGAGAATGAGAATGAATCCTGCGCTAGAAGATGGGAAGATACACCGAGAATGAGAATGAATCCTGCGCTAGAAGATGGAAAGATACACCGAGAATGAGAATGAATCGTCCGCTAGAACATGGAAAGAGACGCGGGCATTTTTTTTTCTTTCGTTTGTGCATGTGGTGAGTCATGGAGCGCGGCCCACTGCTCCCGACGTGTGCAAAACGAGAGTGAATATTCCACAAGAACATGGACAGATACACACCGCCATGATTGGAGCCAGGCTTTGCCCCACGGCACACGAAACGAAAAACGAAAGGAATGAATCTTCCCACAGATGAATCTTCCCACAGAAAATGGCCAGGTTCATCGGTTTGCTATAAATGGTAACGAGTGTATTTTGCCACCTTTGTTGGGCAGATGCACTCGTTTCGTTTTCGTTTCGTGTGCCGTGCGGCGAGACCCTTTATCTCGGCGGCAACGCGGAGAAGAGCTGCAGAGCGACATGACACCCAGGAATTTTTTATTTTTTATTATTATTATTTTTTTTAGGACACCTGGATTTTGTCCGAGCATGAGCATTAGCAGCGCGCCATGACAGCCAGATCGCCTGCATGAGATTCTGTCGATGGCAGGAAAAGTGGGGACGAGCCCTTGAACATTTCCGAATGAATTTGAAGGTGAATCACGGTCAGATACACCCACTCTGAGGATGTCGGGAATCGGCAAAAAAATCGAGGCAATTTGTCTAAAGGCCCGCACTGGAGATGTGTGGACGAGCCGTCGAACTTTTGTGAATGAATTTGAACGTGGATCATGGGCAGATTCACCCAGTGTGAGGATGCCGGAAATCGGCAAAATCGAGGTCCTTTTCCCTGAGAGAGTTGCAGCAATGTGGTCCACGTGGCTTAGGCTAATGGATCCACGTGGTCCGCGCCGGCGATTTTTTTTTTTTAAATATAAAAGCTTGGCTCCTTTTTTTTTCGGGGAGTGGCAGTCCGCTCCACGCCGGCGACTTATTGAGACGTCCAGGTTTTTTTTTTTTTTTTTAACGCTCCGTTTTTGTCGATCCACGTGGCTTAATGGTCCAACAGGTAGCGTTTTTTTTTCTTTTTCATGCAGTTTGCTGTAGGTCGAACAGGTGGCTTAATCATCCACCACGTGGCTTTTTTTTTTTTTTTTCGGGAAAAGGCGACGGCTTTGAGATATCATCGTTCAACTGACCGGCCCTGGTTAATTCAGAATAATGATTTTATTCCGGTCAGATACATGATTTTATTCTGTTCATCTGGTTGTATCTGGATTCGAACTCTGGGGCGAGGTCCCACTAGCAAACAGGATTGGATAAAGATCCTGAATCTGGACGTGTTTTAAGCAGAGATGCAGAAAAGCAGTTCAATCGCGACATTCTGCACCTTTCCACAAACAAGTCCAGATTCAGGCGTTCAATCCAATCCTCTTTGCTAGTGGGACCTCGCCCCTGGTCTGCATGTCACCGGTTGATGGGTGTACCAAGTGAGCTAGGCCCATTGTTGCCTTTTTTTTTGGGGGGGGGGTTACTTATTTTTGTTGCATTGGTCCACGTGGTTTAATGATGCATGCGGCTTAATGTTTCACGTGGAAGTAACCAAAAAAAAAACAGGTACCAAAAAAAAAAAAAAAACAGGTACCAAACAAAAAAAAGCAAACAGGTTTCATGTTCTTGTTCTTCTTCGTATTATCATTTTTTTTTTTTTAATGAAATAATAGAAATATATTATTTTGTATTTTTTATTAACTATTATTTTAATTAACTGTTATTTTTGTTCTGATGACGTGTTCTTCAAAGAGTCGTTTTTAGTAATACAAAGTTGCACCGTGTTTCCTGTTAGGGGAAAAAAAAAACGGGAAATAGTCTTTTTGCCCCGCATGTCTGCCTTTTAAAGAAATCTGCCCTCCCATTCAGAAAAGAACAAAGCTACCGCTACGCTCCCCTCCCCCCCCTTCTCTTCCCCCCCCCAACCCCGTCTCCTC